GTAAGGTTTTGTAGTTCAAGAATAAGTTTTGAATTAATTGTTATAGAATTACAGGGCACTATGTTGAATCATAATAGGTTAATGGAATAAATCAAAATTAAGTCATTTAAGTAAACTTATAGATTATAGTGTAAAGTTGATAATATCAACCGTTAAAAAATATTAGGAGTCAGTGAACTTGGATTGAACCTAGAGTTAACTTAGAAAGTTTTTGTATTAATCAGGGTTTAGAACAAAGAGTATAATATGAATGATTTATTGAACATTATGGAAAACACTTTGAATGATTTGTATTGAAATTGTGCACCTGTGACCTTAATGTAAGCACAACAGACATCATGGAGTTCGAATTGTTTGCTCGAAACTTGCAAGTCTCATGATGGTCTTGTGATGCATGGTTTGTAAAGCACGGAACTTGTACGCCCCCAGCAAGTGATTATCACACTGCTGGAGGGTATAGAAAATGGTATATAAGTTGGAAAAGGTTTGAATAAAATTGGCTTCAGTCCTGATCAGACTGTTCCCAGAAGAACTGCCTCCAAGTGGTCTCTTCTCGCCGTCTCCTGATTCTCCATTGCAGGTCCTAACCCACCCTTGGTCAGTGCTGGTCACCGACACTTTATTGTGTTAAAGTACATTCCTTTTATACCTAGTTTTTGTTTTGTTTTGTTTGAGTGAGAATTTCACTCTGTCACTCAGGCTGCAGTGCAGTTGCATGATCACAGCTCACTGCAGCCTCGACTTCCTGGACTCAGGCTGTCCTTCCACCTCATTCTCCTGAGTAGCTGGACTAACAGGCACATGCTACCACACCCATCTAATTTTTTGACTTTTTGTAAATGAGGTCTTGCTATGTTTCCTAGGCTGACCTTGAACTCCTGGGCTCAATCAGTCCTCCCACCTTGGCTTCCCAAAGTGCTGGGGCACGATCTGCTGTACCCAGTCTTACACCTAATTTGTGGAGGATTTTTAATCATGAAAGAATGTTGCATTTTACCAGGTGCTTTTTCTGCATGTGTTGTGATAGTCATATGGTTTTTATTCTTCATTTTGTTAATGTGGTAAATTATATTCACTGATTTGTGTATATTGAACCATCCTTGAATTTCTGGGATAAATCTCACTTGATCATGATGTATGATTCCTTTAATGTGCTGTTGAGCTCAAACTCAGTTTGCTAGTTTTTTGTCGTTGTTTGTGATTTTTTTTTTTTTTTGAGTTGGAGTTTCACTTTGTCGCCCAAACTGGAGTGCAGTGGCCGCTCCTGGCCACTGCAGCCTCTACCTGCTGGGCTCCGGCGATCCTTCCACCTCAGCCTTCCAAGTAGCCAGAATTACAGGCATGCGCTATCATGCCCAGCTGATTTTTTGATTTATTGTAGAGATGAGGTCTCGCTGCCCAGGTGGGTCTTGAACCCACGGGCTCAGGCAGTCCACTCACCTCAGCCTCCCAAAGGTACAGGATTACAGGCCGAGCCACCGAGCCCGGCTTGATTTTTTTTTTTTTTTTTTAGTAGAGACGAGGTTTTGCTATATTGTCCAGGCTAGTCTCAAACTCCTAACCTCAAGCAATCCTCCTGCCTCAGTCTCCCAAAGTGCTGGGATTACAGACATTGAGCCATAGCACCTGGCCTTAGTTTGCTGGTATTTTATTGAGGAATTTTGGGTGTATTTTCAACAAGGTTATCCGCTTGTAATTTTCTGTTCTTATGGTGTCCTTGTCTGGTTTTGGTATCAGAGTAATGTAGCCTCATAAAATGAGTTTGTTGAGAAGCTTGGTTGCCTCCTCTTCAGTTTTTTTAAAGAGTTTGCGAATTGTTATTAATTCTTCTTTAAATATTTTACAGGGTTCAACAAGGAAGTCACCAAGCCCCAGACTTTTCTTTGATGGGAGATTTTTGCTTATTGGTTCAATCTTCTTACTCCTTATTGGTCTGCTCAGATTTTCTACTCTTTGTGATTCAGTCTTGGCAGGTTGTATGTTCCTGGGTATTTATCCATTTCTTCTAGGCTATCCAATTTGTTGGCATATACTTTTTCATTATAGTCTGATGATCCTTTATATTTCTCTGGTACCAGTTATAATGCCTCCTTATTTATTTCTGTTATGATCTTTATTATTTCTTCTACTAATTTTGTGCTTAGTTTGTTCTTTTTCTCATAAGTTGAGGTGTAATGTTAAATTGTTTATTGGAATTCTTTTCTAGATACCCTTGTTCTCTTTGGTTTCCATTTGCACAGTACATCTTTTTCCATATCTTCAGTTTCAGGCTATGTGTGTCCTTAAAGCTGTAGGTTGTTTCTTGTAGGCTAGCTGTAAGCATATACTCAGGGCCTTTTTTTTATTCCTATTGGCCACTCTAATTTTGTTGGAGAATTGAACTAATTTATTCTTTTTTTAAAGAGATTGGGCCACGCTCTGATACCCAGGCTGAGGTGCAGTTACATGATCATAGCTCACTGCAGCCTCAAACTTTCAGGCTCAAGCAGTCCTCTTGCTTAGTCTCTCAAGTATCTGGAACTACGGGAGCACACCACCAAGCCTAGCTATTACTATTTTTGTTAGAGATGATGTCTTACATGTTGTTCAGGCTGGTCCTAAATTCCTGGCCTCAAGTAATCCTCCCACCTCATCCTCCCAGGTACATTAATTATTGATACTTAAGGACCTCTGTTGCAATCTTAGTCATTGTTTTCTGACAGTTGCGAAGATTCATAGTTCCTTTCTCCTCTCTTGCTGTCATTTTTTGTGATTTTCTATAGTGCTATGCTTTGATTCCTTTCTCTTCTCTCCACATACTATAGATTCTTTGCTTTATCGTTACTACAAGGCCTAAGTAAAACATCCTATAGTTTTTTTTTTTTTTTGAGTTGGAGTCTCACTCTGTCGCCCGGACTGGAGTGCAGTGGC